GTAGTCATTAGGTCATCAAATAAGCTTCTAATTTTTTCTAATAAATAAGATACATATTTCAATGCCTACAAGTATGGTCAACATCATTACCCCATATGTTGACATGACTTTTGTCTTTCCAATGAAAAATTCTAGTGATAAGTATAGTTTTTACATTCCAAAAATAATACAGGCTTTTTAATTTTAAAAAATGCCTGAAATTTGCATTGTAATTTGACATTATATATCAAGATGTCTAAAAACTTTCCCACACTTTAACCCAGTAATATTGTTTCTGAAAAACTAGCCTAAAGATATAATCTGGGAATGGGAAGCTTTAAGCACAAATATTCATTAAAGTATTGCTGATAAAGTTGTCTTTTCTTTTAAATGTGGTTTCATGGTCCAAAGTTAAAGAAAGACTGACTTATAACTGATCTGAGACAAATGTAACTAACCCAAAATGGAGGAATAGTTAAGCAAGCCATGTATCTATCTATTAAAGCAACCACAAAAATTCATGTTTATAAAAAGTTCACAATGGCATGTTAAAGTGCTTATAACATTACTTACAAAAGGAGTAGAGAACATATTATACAGTAATTTTATACAATTATACAATTTAAATATTTAAAGCCTACTAATAAAAACTAGCCATGAGGGGACAACATCAAAAGAAATGCTTCAAAAACATTCACTGTTTGTTTTTTTCTTCTATTTTGAGACATTTTCCAAATTGTATCTAATGTGCATACCTGTTTCTATAATGGAGGAAAAATATCACTTTATTAAGGGTGGCACGGAGTGGGAGGGGCAGAGAACAAGCCCGAGGGAGCTGGGGGTAGGATAGGGTTGCATAAAGCTAAAGTATGCCTAAGTTCTCACTTAAGGGCTCATGTGTGTTGATAAAGGTGGTATGCAGTATATCCTGCCAAGTGTTATTCTCAAGTGAAGTTGGAACTTGTCCTTTAAGCTCATTCTGAGCTTGGTATTGAGAAATACCAATAAGAAAGAGGTGCTTTGCTATTGTTTCAACACTACTCAGCAAATACTGTTGCTGTCCCGGAATAACCACCCTCACACGACAGGTCCCCACCACGTGTGTCATGTTCTTGGGCAAGGATGCACAGAAGTCAAACACAATCATCACCAGGCCCCAGGAAGAGGCGGTGCTGCCCTGCTTGGGAAATCACACTGCAGGAGACCTTTGTCAGATACTGGTTAAATATATCAGCCAGTGGCTGGGGACCAACTTTCCCTTCCATTTGCAGCAAATAAAAACAAAGTATCACTGAAGACTCTTTGTAAGTCACAGAAACCTAATGGGGATAAGTTAAACCAAAATTGATTGGAAATTGAGTCCTTTATAGAAGGAAAAACTAATCATGTCTCCTTAAAGGATAAGGACCATGGTGGCACTGAGTTCTCCATCAGGGCCACGTGGGCGATCCCTTTTTGGTAAGGCCATCTGACTCAGCTTCTACCATTTCTAATCTTGTCATTCCATTTATGATAAAAATTCCTGTGGAGAAACAGCAAAAGTACTATCTTAGACCATGTGCTGATCCCCTTGGCCAGAAGAAAGCCCCACCAAGATCTCAAGTATAGATGGATGTCATTCCCCAAAGGTAGGATGACTACAGGTTGGGGTTTGCCCTAGACAATCCCAGTGTGTATCTGTTTTTTAGGAATAACTATAAGTAGCATCACTTTCACTCACAAACGTGTCCAAGTTTCGATAATAAATTGCATGATCACTCTATACAAAGGAAAAACAGGGCATTGTTACCAAAGGGGGGAGAAGTGATGCTGAGTGGATGAAAATAGCCGCCATTACGAGACTCTTAGAAGAGGTCAACACAAAGTGTTTTGCACCCAATCTCTCAGGTTAAAGATAAGAATTAGCATCAAAAGCTTTTATCAGTCTTTTGCTTTCGACTCCAACATGAAAATAACATTCCTATACTCACCCCCTATGCTTTGAATTATTATGACTTTGACCCAATAATTCCATTCCGTTGTCCTTGCTGCTAAACCCCTAACTGTTAAAATGTTCCCTTTTACAGCTGCTTTTTTTTTTAATTTTAGTATATATTTTCTATAATATTGTGTTTCAGGTGTACAGCAAAGTTATTCAGTTATACATATATATTTTTACAGATTCTTTTCCATTATAGGTTATTACAAGCTATTGAATATAGCTGTGCTATACAGCAAAACCTTGCTGTTTATTTTATATATAGTAGTGTGTATCTGTTAATCCTAAGCTCCTAATTTATCCCTTTGGTAAATTTATCTCTTATTTCCCCTTTGGTAACCATAAGTTTGTTCCTATGTGAGTGTATTTCTGTTTTGTGAATAAATTCATTTGTATTATTTTTTTAGATTCCACATATAAGTGATATCATATAATTGTCTTTCTCTGACTTGGGCAGAAGATCTAAATAGACATTTTCCCAAAGAAGACATACAGATAGCCAAAACGCACATGAAAAGATGTTCAACACTGCTAATTATTAGAGAACTGCAAATCAAAACTACAATGAGCTATCACCTCACACTGGTCAGAATGACCATCACCAAAAAGTCTACAAATATTAAATGCTGGAGAGGGTATGACGAAAAGGAACTGCTACACTGTTGGTGGGAATGAAAATTGGTGCAGCCACTATGGAAAACAATATGGGTTCCTTAAAAAAGTAAAATAGAGTTACCATATGATCCAGCAACCCCACTCCTTGGTGTATGTTCAGAAATGACAAAAACCCTATTTGAAAAGATACTTGCATCCCAATGTTCATGGAAGCACTATTTACAATAGACAAGACACGGAAGCAACCTAAGTGTCCATCGACAGATGAATGGATAAAGAAGATGTCGTATATATAATATATACACAATGGAAATTAGTCAGTCATAAAAAAGAATGAATTATCATACGGCTGCTTTTTCAGCTTAATTTGTGCTCTTCTGCTTTCCGAAACAGAATGTTAACATCCATTCAGCCAGCTGAAGGGCCAGGGTGATACCAGGTCCAATATTCCCCAAAGCATGTGTAGGATAGTTGCTGTACCCCTGCTGCTGACTAATAATGAGTCAAATAGTGCCTTTCACTCTGATTTCCTCCGAGAGGCTGTTCTACAAGCCTGGGGTCAACTTAAAGGAAGACGGGTTTTGTTTAATATTTTCTCTTTTCATTAGTGCACTTAAATTACTTTCTTGCAAACTCTGCTTGTTACCTAAATGTACTAGCACTTTTGTTACCTAATTAGCTTTCTTATCAGAATTCCAACCAAAAATAACAAGAAATTTAATAATGATAAGATATCCTGCCCCCTCAAAACAGATTTCCTTTCGCGCTTTATCTCTTGATACTGTTCTGGCTTGTTTAATTAAAGTATCAGAAATTATTAGACTCAAATTATTTCTTGATCTAGTGCTCAAATTCTCCTGAAAAACTGCTTCTTCTGCCTCCGTATTTAAACTTTATCAGTGTGAGGCAGATGAGTTTCCACACGTATGCAACTGGATTCATGTAATTCAATATAAATTTGGAGGAAGAGCCTAATTTAGCCTCTAAGTAATTAGACGAACAAATCAGATTTGGCTACACTGAGCTACCATGGTTTAAATACTCATGTCTCTTTTCTTGTGCTCTTCGATCATCAAAATGAACAACACTAATGTGCAAAAGAAACGTATGAAACTTAGCATGGAGTTGTGAAATTCAAAGAAAAGATCTTATTTATTTTTTCATTAGAGGAGTGGGGGAAAAATCACCAAGTTCAAACCACTAGCATAAGTAGTCTTCAAGGAGGGTAGTCATGTCTGTTACAGGCTTTAAAAACACCGATGAGAAAGTACCCTTAAATCACAGCATTGAGAAGGAGAAAACTATAAGACATATTGGTTATTTGTCTTCATCATACTCTGTGAAAAAATTTCAAGTTGGAACCTGTTTGCTTCTGGTGGAGCTGTGTGAGAGGTTCACTTTCTTTGAAGTCGTCTGCAATATGATCCCCTTTTGCACCGTCAAGCTTGGCTATCACAATTACCAGGCCGCCATTTTGAATTTGTGTTTTATTGGAACGTCAATCCTTACCCCGGTGTTTGCAGGATGGCTTGCTGATGTATGTCTAGGAAGAAACAAACTGGTACAGGTTTGCTTATTTCTGCATTTTCTAGGTGAGTGTCCACTTCTGACTGGATTGTTTTACAACTTATTTTAGTGGATTTTTATTAGAACGTTTGATTTATGCTATACCCACTTTGTTTTCAGCGTAAGATGTAATAAATGAGCTAAGAATGTTGCTTCAATTTAGTTTATTCTCTGTATTATTTGAGGGATACTACTAAGTGTGTGTGTGTGTGTGTGTGTGTGTGTTAGAGGATGCTTTGATACTTTTATCATTGCACTGATTATATTTTATAATAATTATCTCTTTAAATGTCTGTTTTCTATACTCTGCAGAATTCCCTCCTTTCCCCCCTTCCTACCACAAGCCAAAATTTGTGACAAATTCTACGTGAAATATGAAGTTCATTTGCTTCACAACTAAAGTGAAGTGTGCTAAAAAGTTGTTTTGAAGTACATGTAGAAACGTTTTCATCAAAAGGTGGTCTTTTAATTAGTCATATAATAATTAAGATTGCACTTGAAGACATGATTTCCATATTATGAAGTATGGCTACATGCTAAAAAATGAATGAATTTAACGCTACACTGTGCTTCTTTACATAACAAAAAAGAAATAGATCTACAAAAGTTTGGGAGTGACGTGATTGCAAGCAATGTTGGGGAAATATCAAATTTGTTTGATATGGAATAGAGATCAAGTTGATGAACAGTCTAGAAATTTAGGCTGGAAAGTTCAGGTTGCTCTTCTAGACAAGAAGGAGTTACTGAAGATATGAACACATTTGTGAAATGCTTCAATAAACAGGACTGACAATCACAGTGAGAGGTTAGAGAGAGAGCAGAAAATCTCAGGATGTTGGTCTAGGTGATGGAGAACTGTCAATCCAGGAAAGAACATAAAACCATAAAAACTCGTCAACTATGTAAGGTCACAAATATGATGGAAGGACAGAAATTAACTCCAAGTTCTGAGCTGAGGAACTTAGGTAGGCAGTTCATCAAAACTGACCAGTGCAGCAGAAATGCAGTTTTGAGGGACAGGGGAGGTGAATGAGGAAGTGATGGGTATCAGCTACTCAACCTACACACAATTCAAATCAGATGGTAAAGTACCATTCACTGAATCGATCAGAGCATGATTCAAACTTGTAAGCTTCTTCATTGTTTCAGTTCCATGAAATAAAAACTAAGTCACTGCATGGCAAATATTTGTTCACCGTTCCATAAGTGTTTCTCATTGACTACTCTGTGCTAGACATTGTTCCAGGATCTGGAACCCAACACAGAAGAAAGCAGTCTCTTTTCTTATGAAGTTGACTTTCTGATGTGGGGAGAGGGAAAATCAAGTAATAAATAGCTATCATGTTGGGTGGAAATGTGTGATGATGAAAAAAAAGCTGGGGAAGGGGACAGGATGGACTAGAGAGTGACAAGGTGGCTCTTCTGTGTCAGGGAATGTTTTCTGATGAGAAGACATTTAAGCATGATTTACTCTTCTTCACTTGGTAGCAGGCCATGTCAGTAGCATTGGGTAACTTCTTGTTTAACGTGGTGATTCCCATCAGTCTAAATTCCTGTGTGAGTCATCAGACTAGGACTGAAGTCCCAACTTAGAATTTGGCAAACAGAAGGCAAGTCAATTCCACGACCATTCAGTTTCCTACTCAAAGTTGTTTCCTGGTGTCCCCCACTCATGGATGTCATAAAATTCCAACCAGTCACTAAGTATCAGAGGTTCCATCAAAAATGTGTCTTCTGTCTGTATTGCTACAACCTTAGCTCAAAAATGCAGCCTTCATCTTCTTGACCATTACAGTGGCCTGCTTACTGGCTGTCAGTCATCAGTGTGACCCCAATGCTGTTTCTACCAAAAAATACTGACTTCCTAAAAGAATAAACCTATACATTGGCTCTATTATCTAAAATGTAAAAGCCAATTTAGTTTGTAAGAACCTTTAGAACCTGTCCAAAATTTACCTCTCCAAACTTCTGTCTCAGTACACGACCCCAATCAGGCAGAACTTCTCCTCACGGGCTTCCCTACTTTTCTAATGTTACATCTGCTCTTTTCTCTGCCTGAAATTGTCATTTTCCTTTATCTTTCCATCCCATATCCAAGACATGAAAACTCCTGGCCCTTCCTTCAAGATTCATGTAGTGGGAGGCTTCCGGGAAGATGGCGGAAGAGTAAGACGCGGAGATCACCTTCCTCCCCACAGATACACCAGAAATACATCTACACGTGGAACAACTCCTACAGGACACCTACTGAACGCTGGCAGAAGACCTCAGACCTCCCAAAAGGCAAGATACCCCCACGTACCTGGGTAGGGCAAAAGAAAAAAGAAAAAACAGAGACAAAATAGGGACGGGACCTGCACCAGTGGGAGGGAGCTGTGAAGGAGGAAAGATTTCCACACACTAGGAAGCCCCTTCATGGGCGGAGACTGCGGGGGGCGGAGGGGGGAAGCTTCGGGGCCTCGGAGGAGAGCGCAGCGACAGGGGCGTGAAGGGCAAAGCGGATAGGTTCCCACACAGATAATCAGGGCCGACCGGCACTCGCCAGCCCGAGAGGCTTGTCTGCTCACCCGCCGGGGCGGGCGGGGCTGGGAGTTAAGGCTCAGGCTTCGGTCGGAGCGCCGGCAGAGGACCGGGGTTGGCGGCATAAACACAGCCTGCAGGGGATTAGTGCGCCACGGCTAGCCGGGAGGGAGTCCGGGGAAAAGTCTGGACCTGCCGAAGAGGCAAGAGACTTTTTCTTACCTCTTTGTTTCCTGGTGCGCGAGGAGAGGGGATTCAGAGCGCTGCTTAAAGGAGCTCCAAAGACGGGCGCGAGCCGCGGCTAAAAGCGCGGACCCCAGAGACGGGCATGAGACGCTCAGGCTGCTGCTGCCGCCACCAAGAAGCCTGTGTGCGAGCACAGGTCACTATCCACACCCCACTTCCGGGGAGCCTGTGCAGCCCGCCACTGCCAGGGTCCCGTGATCCAGGGACAACTTCCCCGGGAGAACGCACGGCACGCCTCAGGCTGGTGCAACGTCACGCCGGCCTCTGCTCCTTTAACCCCGTCCTGTCTGAGCGAAGAACAGACGCCCTCTGGCGACCTACATGCAGAGGCGGGGCCAAATCCAAAGCTGAGCCCCTGGGAGCTGTGAGAACAAAGAAGAGAAAGGGAAATCTCTCCCAGCAGCCTCAGGAGCAGCGGATTAAAGCTCCACAATCAACTTGATGTACCCTGCCTCTGTGGAACACCTGAATAGACAACGAATCATCCCAAATTGAGGAGGTGGACTTGAGAACAAGATTTATGATTTTTTCCCCTTTTCCTCTTTTTGTGAGTGTGTATGTGTATGCTTCTGTGTGAGCTTCTGTGTATAGCTTTGCTTCCACCATTTGTCCTAGGGTTCTATCCGTCCGTTTTTTTTGTTTTGTTTTTTTAATTTTTTTCTCTTAATAATTATTTTTTTATTTTAATAACTTTATTATATTTTATCTTACTTTATTTTATTTTACTTTATCTCCTTTCTTTTTTTCCTTCCTTCCCTCCTTCCTTCCTTCCTCCCTCCCTCCCTCCCTTCTTTCTTTCTTCCTTTCTTTCTCTCTCTCTTTCTACTTCTACTAATTCTTTCTTTCTACTTTTTCTCCCTTTTTTTCTGAGCCGTGTAGATGAAAGGCTCTTGGTGCAGCAGCCAGGAGTCAGTGCTGTGCCTCTGAGGAGGGAGAGCCAACTTCAGGACACTGGTCCACAAGAGACCTCCCAGCTCCACATAATATCTAATGGCGAAAATCTCCCAGAGATCTCCATCTCAACACCAGCACCCAGCTTCACTCAATGACCAGCACTCCACCCATTAGCAGAGAGGCTGCCTAAAATCGTAACAAGTCCACAGACACCCCAAAACACACCACCAGACATGGACCTGCCCACCAGAAAGACAAGATCCAGCCTCATCCACCAGAACACAGGCACTAACTAGTCCCCTCCACCAGGAAGCCTACACAACCCACTGAACCAACCTTAGCCACTGGGGACAGACACGAAAAACAACAGGAACTACGAACCTGCAGCCTGCAAAAAGGAGACCCCAAACACAGTAAGATAAGCAAATTGAGAAGACAGAAAAACAGCAGATGAAGGAGCAAGATAAAAACCCACCAGACCTAACAAATGAAGAGGAAATAGGCAGTCTACCTGAAAAAGAATTCAGAATAATGATAGTAAAGATGATCCAAAATCTTGGAAATAGACAAAATGCAAGAAATATTTCACAAGGACCTAGAAGAACTAAAGATGAAACAAACAACGATGAACAACACAATAAATGAAATTAAAAATACTCTTCATGGGATCAATAGCAGAATAACTGAGGCAGAAGAATGGATAAGTGACCTGGAAGATAAAATAGTGGAAATAACTACTGCAGAGCAGAATAAAGAAAAAAGAATGCAATGCCAATAAAATGGACAACCTGGAAGAAATGGACAAATTCTTAGAAATGCACAACCTGCCAAGACTGAATCAGGAAGAAATAGAAAATATGAACAGATCAATCACAAGCACTGAAATTGAAACTGTGATTAAAAATCTTCCAACAAACAAAAGCCCAGGACCACATGGCTTCACAGGCGAATTCTATCAAACATTTGGAGAAGACTTAACACCTATCCTTCTCAAACTCTTCCAAAATATAGCAGAGGGAGGAACACTCCCAAACTAATTCTACGAGGCCACCATCACCTTCATACCCAAACCAGACAAGGATGTCACAAAGAAAGAAAACTACAGGCCAATATCACTGATGAACATAGATGCAAAAATCCTCAACAAAATACTAGCAAGCAGAATCCAACAGCACATTAAACGGATCATAAACTATGACCAAGTGGGGTTTATTCCAGGAAGGCAAGGATTCTTCAATATATGCAAATCAATCAATGTGATACACCATATTAACAAATTGAAGGAGAAAAAACATATGATCATCTCAATAGATGCAGAGAAAGCTTTCGACAAAATTCAACACCCATTTATGATAAAAACCCTGTAGAAAGTAGGCATAGAGGGAACTTTCCTTCAACATAATAAAGGCCATATATGACAAACCCACAGCCAACATTGTCCTCAATGGTGAAAAACTGAAAGCATTTCCACTAAGATAAGGAACAACACGAGGTTGCCCACTGTCACCACTCTTATTCAACATAGTTTTGGAAGTTTTAGCCACAGCAATCAGAGAAGAAAAGGAAATAAAAGGTATCCAAATCGGAAAAGAAGAAGTAAAGCTGTCACTGTTTGCAGATGACATGATACTATACATAGAGAGTCCTAAAGATGCTACCAGAAAACTACTAGAGCTAATCAATGAATTTGGTAAAGTAGCAGGATACAAAATTAATGCACAGAAATCTCTTGCATTCCTATACACTAATGATGAAAAATCTGAAAGAGAAATTAAGGAAACACTCCCATTTACCATGGCGACAAAAAGAATAAAATACCTAAGAAGAAACTTACCTAGGGAGACAAAAGACCTGTATGTAGAAAACTATGACACTGATGAAAGAAATTAAAGATGATACAAATAGATGGAGAGATATACCATGTTCTTGGATTGGAAGAATCAACATTGTGAAAATGACTCTACTACCCAAAGCAATCTACAGATTCAATGCAATCCCTGTCAAACTACCACTGGCATTTTTCACAGAACTAGAACAAAAACTTTCACAATTTGTATGGAAACAAAAAAGACCCTGAATAGCCAAAGCAATCTTGAGAATGAAAAACAGAGCTGGAGGAATCAGGCTCCTTGACTTCAGACTATACTACAAAGCTACAGTAATCAAGACAGTATGGTACTGGCACAAAAACAGAAAGATAGATCAATGGAACAGGATAGAAAGCCCAGAGATAAACCCACGCACATATGGTCACCTTATCTTTGATAAAGAAGGCAGGAATGTACAGTGGAGAAAGGACAGCCTCTTCAATAAATGGTGCTGGGAAAACTGGACAGGTACATGTAAAAGTATGAGATTAGATCACTCCCTAACACCATACACAAAAATAAGCTCAAAATGGATTAAAGACCTAAGTGTAAGGCCAGACGCTGTAAAACTGTTAGAGGAAAACATAGGCAGAACACTCTATGACATAAATCACAGCAAGATCCTTTTTGACCCACATCCTACAGAAATGGAAATAAAAACAAAAATAAACAAATGGGATCTAATGAAACTTCAAAGCTTTTGCACAGCAAAGGAAACCATAAACAAGGCCAAAAGACAACCCTCAGAATGGGAGAAAATATTTGCAAATGAAGCAACTGACAAAGGATTAATCTTCAAAATTTATAAGCAGCTCAATAACAAAAAACCAAACAACCCAATCCAAAAATGGGCAGAAGACCTAAATAGACATTTCTCCAAAGAAGATATACAGACTGCCAACAAACACATGGAAGAATGCTCAACATCATTAACCATTAGAGAAATGCAAATCAAAACTACAATGAGATATCATCTCACACCAGTCAGAATGGCCATCATCAAAAAATCTAGAAACAATAAATGCTGGAGAGGGTGTGGAGAAAAGGGAACCCTCTTGCACTGCTGGTGGGAATGTAAATTGATACAGCCATCGTGGAGAACAGTATGGAGGTTCCTTAAAAAACTACAAATAGAACTACCATATGACCCAGCAATCCCACTACTGGACATATACCCTGAGAAAACCATAATTCAAAAAGAGTCATGTACCAAAATGTTCATTGCAGCTCTATTTACAATAGCCCGGAGATGGAAACAACCTAAGTGCCCATCATCGGATGAATGGATAAAGAAGATGTGGCACATATATACAATGGAATATTACTCAGCCATAAAAAGAAACGAAATGGAGCTATTTGTAATGAGGTGGATAGACCTAGAGTCTGTCATACAGAGTGAAGTAAGTCAGAAAGAGAAAGACAAATACCGTATGCTAACACATATATATGGAATTTAAGAAAAAAAAATGTCATGAAGAACCTAGGGGTAAGACAGGAATAAAGACACAGACCTAATAGAGAATGGACTTGAGGATATGGGGAGGGTGAAGGGTAAGCTGTGACAAAGCGCGAGAGAGGCATGGACATATATACACTACCAAACGTAAGGTAGATAGCTAGTGGGAAGCAGCCACATAGCACAGGGAGATCAGCTCGGTGCTTCGTGACCGCCTGGAGGGGTGGGATAGGGAGGGTGGGAGGGAGGGAGACGCAGAGGGAGGAGATATGGGAACATATTTATATGTATAACTGATTCACTTTGTTATAAAGCAGAAAGTAACACACCATTGTAAAGCAATTATACTCCAATAAAGATGTAAAAAAAAAAAAAAAGATTCATGTAGTGTTCGTTGCTAGCTCCTCTGTGCTCAGCCACACTCTGATCATACCCAAGTGATTGCATTTGCCCCATTATAATTGTCCACCTTCATGTGTGCCTTCTCCGATGGATGCATTCGCTCCTGATGGGAGGAACCAGCAGACCCCCACCACCTAGCAAGAGATATGACACATCATGGTGCTTTATACATAGCTACCAAGTACAGGTGTGCGGACTGTGCACTGCACAATAGCACACATCAACAAGGAATCTTTTTATCTTATATGTCAATGACTTGTATTTTTATTACATCAATTTTACAGTAGATAGAAATAAAGTTTTGACCTATTGCAATCAGTGTATTATGACATTTTTCAAAAGATGGAAGTAAAGTGCCTTTCAAATTTACACAAAGGTACCACTAAAAGAATTTGTCTTTAAATAGATGGCTGCTGCAAGAAGCAGTTCTTCTGTCCATCCTCTTTGGATAACCTTAGCCTAGCCAGGCCTCACGTGACGCTTCCAGAGATAAAGACTGAGTGGGAGAGAGAGAGAGAGAAGTTAGCTGCACATCTGGCTCACCTTAACAGGAAACATTTCAAACTCAGTAAAGGGCCCACCCGCATGGTAAATCAGTCTGTTACCAAACAACTATTAAGGGCATGCATTCTTCACATTGCAAAAGCCACTGTATGGGAGATGGAAACATTAGGCCCAATTTTTGCCTTTAATACCCTTATAGTCTAATTGAGAAAACTAACCACATAAAATGACTATATAAAAATTTATACCAAAAAGTGTGAATGCCAAGTTAATAAAACGGAGTTGAAAACTAACATGGAGAAGCCATTTTTCCCTAATCAAATTGACCCCCCCAAAAAAACTGATTTGATCATGTGATAACAGGAATTTCAAGAAGAGGGAGATCACAACTGGGTTACTCCATAGCATTGGGTCACTTAGCCTCAACAAACCTGTTTCTTTTTCTTTTTTTTTGAAAAATCAGAATTAAAAAAAAAAAACTGTCTTCTGTCGTCACAAAGTTTTTCCAAGATCAAACAATGTAGTACACAAAAATGTTTTGCAAACTATAAATAGCTTAGCAAAAGTATGGAATTGAGTGGTAATTATTAGACAAGGAAAGTCTTCAAGTTTGGTCCCTGCAAGACGGAAGTGAGAAGCCAGCTTAACCTTCTTTTTGTTGGTTTGTTTTTGGGTTTGATTGAAGTCTGGTTGATTTACAATGTCGTGTTAGTTTCAGGTGTACAGCAAAGTGATTTCAACCTTCCTTTGTCATTCTCTCCTCCCTCCTTCCCACCTGTACTGCATTGCTCACCTCACACCCGTCCCCAGCCTTCTCACCTATGTGTGTGGCAAAGGATTCTCCAGGCCACTGCAGGAGAAATAAAAGGGATTTAAAAGGAAAAAGCGAAGCAGAAAAGGAAAAGAGAGGCTACGTTCTGCTCTAACTACAATAACGTTCTTCTTAAAACGTTTTCTTTAACAGGCTTCCGAGATGTCTGAGATCATCGCGGTTTCTCTCACTCTGTTGATTAAGAACAAATAACCCTTGTGAATGGTGGTTTTTCTCTGGGGGTGGGACTGCAAACATCTTTAGTGTCTCACATCAGGTATTTCTGAATTGTTTTAAATTTGTTAAAATGGACACAATTTGCTTGTCTGTTCTCTGAGAGATAGTTCAAGTCTGAGGGGAAAAAAACTAGGACTCTGGATTCATTAAAAACATATACTGAGGGAAATATTTACATTTAGGAAAATCGTATTACCTCCAGAATTGCCATGATTAATATTTTAATAAGACAATTGCATAACGAGGCAACGTTCAGAGGAAAAACCTTATTTCTGATGTGATTTGGTGAGTCAGTGGTCTATACATATTTATTCCTTTTTTTTTTTTTTTTCTCTGTCTATAGGCTCTGCTTTGTTATCTGTGGCTGCTTTTCCCTTGGAGGGTTTCTACATGGGCACTCACCGTATGATTAACAACATACCAAAAAAGGAACAGACCAGGCTGTTTCACGTAGCACTGGTGGCCATCTGCCTCGGCACAGGAGGAATAAGGACCATTGTCTGTCCACTGGGCGCTTACAGCCTTTAGGAGTATGGATCCCAGAAACAAATGTCCTTTTTTAACTGGTAAGTAGCACTGGCTAGGAGAGAAGACAGGCATTCTCGGGAACAGACATTTCTCCCGCTTTGGGCATTTCTCATTGCTTGCTCTCTGGTCCCGTTTTGATGATGGTTGTTCAGCCTTTGTCATTGATTGGGCTGGGTGACAAGGGGACAATACCTTTAACAATGATTCAGTCAGTAGTCTGGGAGCCTATGAGTCAGGTATAGACCAACACAGTTTACCAGCACCTTCTTGAAACACACTGATGACTTTATCCTTCAAGTAAACAAGTGTGAGAAGGCATGTCATACTGAATAGAATGTGGCTTTGGAGCCAAACAGGCCTTGGTGGAAATCTCAATTCTACTTCACACAGTTGCCTGACCTTGGTCAAGTCATTTCTTCTTTGAGTTTAACCATTTCTGAAGGGTTATAATAATACCTCTTCCTGCGTTTTATTAGAGGTAATAATATGTGTATTACTGGCATAGAATGTGGCACATAGTGGTAATCAATAAGCAGGAGATATTATTAGTTATGTCTACATTGTAATAGATAACACGGCATAGATTATAAATTCAGAAAGATGAAAAGGATGGAAGAAGTATTTTACAATTCGTTAAAACATCAACCAGCATCTCTATTTAACATCCACTTCACCCCCAGCACCTGAAAGAATTTGTATTCCATGGAAATCAAACTACATTTCTATACATCTTTGTCTCTCTTAGTGAGTTCTTATACAGTTTTATGTGTTTTCAAGGAACCAATTTTTATTATCAAATGCAAATTCAAGGAAAAATTGAGATTTTGATCTCAAGGTAGAGTATTTCAGCATTTAGTAGAGAATTCTGTTGTTCTTATTGGCATTCACCAGTTGATGTCAAATATATTGGAGATATATTGTCTTTTGCTTCCTCTTCTCTGTGAAATAGGTTAGTATCATTTTTCTAAAATATTTTGCCATTCCATCAATGTTAGCAATGGATAAAAGCAATGCACAGACAGCATCAGACAAAATGTTTAAAGAAAATTCATATTAAAAGCATTAAATGAAAAAAATTTAGAATAAATATTATCTAGGTACATATAGCTATCTAAGACAGTTCCTTTTTCTTTGTTTTTCTTTCTGCTTTCTTTTGTTTCCTTCTTTCTTTCCTTCTTTCCCCCCCATCCCCCGACTATATTAATATTACAAAGCACTCAGGCCTATTTTGGATTAAGTCCAAACGTCAGAGAATAATGCAGTTTTACCAAAGGTGGAGGGGACTTTTTACTTCCTTACAGCAAATTCTGCCTCCTTGACCTGCCCAAAGGAGAAAGAAAAATCCTTCTTTTTTATTCTATTCGGAGGTTTTAATCCTTAATTAGCAACATCATTTTGATTAAATAAGACTCTGGAGGATTAAGACTAAAGAGCAATCAGTTGTTCTGAAAGATAGCTCTGGAGAATTTATTGTACTGTCGTCTTAGTCATTCAGAGTTGTGTTTAATCAAAGTGACATTTCTCAGTGTTGATTACAAAGGAGACATTATATGAATGAAATATTTCCTTGGGGAAACGGAGGGAACACCCAATGGGTTCGTGCTTTAGGACATTGGAAAGGCGGGGATGAGGAATGAGGTGAAAATGAATTTCTGTAGCCAGGCCAAATTTAGGATGAACACATTTCGATTGGGTTACTTATTATTTCCTGATTTCATTAAAATCTCTGATAAAGGAATCATGCAATATTTTTTAAAGTTAAGCACCGAGAAATGTGTATAAAGAACCAGGGTGTTATTCTTTAATGTGATAAGAGACTGTAGAAATAATAAGCCCCTTGAAGGCGGAATATGGTGGTTGTTGTTTTCTCAGTTCAAATACTAAACTTTTATGAACAGCTGCTTGTTGCACTTTATAGAAATGACTGTTCATTCTATTCTTGTACATAACGCAGGGGTTGGTGGCAAGATGAACAGAGTCCCTGCTGGGCAGCCAGATAGCTGGCAGGATCCTGGCTCTGTCACTTAGGAGTCTTATGGTTTTCGGCAAGTTCCTTCACCTCTCAAAAGCACAGAATGGGGATACCTTGGAGGGCTGTTGTGGAGTTTTTACACAAAGTATCCTAGCACATTATAGGCATTCAAATCAGGGTAACTATGACTTATTATTAAATGACGAATAAATAAGTCATCAGCTAAAATAATTGTCCAACTTCTGGGAAAGAGGAAGGCCATTTAGGAGAGGGTCATCTTTAAAATGAGCAGCCCACTGATTTATAATCTATTTCTCCAAGTCGAAAATGCCTCTAGAAATTACAAGCTTGGTTAATATAATGAATTTCAGCAGTGTCTTTAAAAAAGCAACACAGCTAACTTTTGACCACTAATCTCTCCCTACAGAAAGACTTACTACTTTTCAAATTTTTGAATTCAAGTCTTTAGTAATATATTCTTTTTTTTTTTTAGGCTCCGGACGCACAGGCTCAGCGGCCATGGCTCACGGGCCCAGCTGCTCTGCAGCATACTCCCGGACCAGGGCACGAACCTGTGTCCCCTGCATCGGCAGGCGGACCCCCAACCACTGCGCCACCAGGGAAGCCCTAGTAATATATTCTAATTCAAGTCTCTACTACATATATTTTTCTGGTTTAACGACAGCAGTGCTATGCTTATTAAATCACTTATAAACTGAAAAAAAAAAAAAAAAAGCAACACAGCACTTGAACCTATAACCACTTGAAGGCTGCATCCAGTTCTGTTTTCAGCACAGATGTCAGCTGTTCATAGTTACGGGACGCTTAATGAGATGTGTCATTGCATCTCTACCACCTAAAGCTTCCCAATGATCATGTGAAATAGTATAGACTGGAAGTCTAAAGCACTGAAAGCACCACTTCCGAGTAGAGCTGCCAAATGTAGGTGAGAAAACCCCTCCCAGCCAACATCACCATCTGGTACTGGATCTTCCTCGACTATGTACCTAACTGAAAGAATAAAGCTAAACTCCCTGAAATCAAGAGGCATAATAATCTGCCAACATCTCCTTGTGCCATCGTCCAGATCGGAACCTGGCTCTTTCAGCATTTTCCAAAATCTGACATGTACAATAAGAGTTACCATACTGGCGATCATCTAGGTAAATACACCTCTGCAGAATCTTTTCTGGAAACAAAATGAATGGTGAATAATTAAGTCTGTTCATGACCATAATTTTAAATCCTACCACAATTAACCTTAAATCTTGCTTCCTCATGTCTCTACTTATTTCACCTGATAATTTGCATGCCATCTGCATATCATAGTCTGTCACTAACCAGTTACCAGAGTGAATTATACATTATTTAAAAGCTCAAATAGTAGATTGGTATAAATTTCTTGAAAAAGTCTAGAGACTGACTTATTCCATCCCAGAAATTTTGAATATCTGGTACTCAGTTTGACTCTACATAATATCTGTCTCATACTAAAGTGTTCTGATTTTTAAAAACTTGCTCAAATTTAGTATCTTTTATCTTGGGAAAACACTAGAAGTAAAAAAATTATTATCCCACAGCCTTTTTTTCAAAGCTGTTTTAATATTTACTTGAGTGTTGTTTGACAGCAGCGATTCTCAATCCTAGATGTCCAAGGAAGCCACATGAGGACCCTTAAAAATACTGATGCCTGGGCCCTACCACCAGAAGTTCTGATTATGTTGATTTGAGGTGGGCACCAGAGACTAGGATTTTTTTTAAGCTGCCTGAGTAGTAAGGTTTGAGAACCACTGCTCTCAAGCAGCATTGCATGATTTTAAGCATCACTTGAGGGCTTTGTTAAAAAATGTTTCCCATGCCCTACCCCCAACATCCTAGATCAGAATTTCCTGGGAGCATAGCTGGGGAACAAACGTGCATTTTTAGCAAGTGCTTCAGAATTTTGAAAACAGTTCCAGAGACATAAGGAAAGTGGATTCCATACGTGGTCTAGAAATATTCTTGAAAAGGAATGGAGCTAAACATTGAGGGAAGCACCTATTTCATACCAGGATGCTTCAGAAATTTTTGATGATTCCTCACAATTTTTACCACACTTAGAAATCTACCTGTTTGAGAAATTCTACCTAACCCTTGAGAAGAGAAACAAAATATGAATTTACACAATTCTGCAATAGTAAAATCATAATTTCAGCTAACGAAATCAAAACAGTTCATGGAATAGTCTTACTAGTACTCATTAATACAGGCATATCTCGTTAAATTGCTTTGCTTTATTGTGCTTCACAGTGATAAAGTTTTTAATTTTATAAACTTTTATAAATTTTAAATTTTGTAAAATTTACAGAAAGTTTGCAGCAACTCCACGTCCAGTAAGTCTATCAGTGGCATTTTTCCAAAAGCATTTGCTCACTTCATGTCTCTGTGAAGCATTTGGTAATTCTCACACTATGCAAACTTCATTATTATTATATTTATCATGGTGATCTGTGATCAGTGATCTTTGATGTTACTACCACCATGCGCTGAAGGCTCAGAGGATGGTTAGCATTTTTTGCAATAAAGTATTTTTAATTAAGACATGCACGTTATCTTTTTAGACATAATGCTTTTGCACATTTAGTACATTACAACAGAGTGTAAACATAACTTTTATATATACTGGGAAACTGAAAACTTTGTGCAACCTGTTATACCTCGGTGGCCTAGAACCGGACCCATAGTATCTCTGAGGTATGCTTGCACTCAGAATGTCCTCTAAGTTGCATATACTGAGGAATAGCTTGTAAGTAGCTTTCTAAAAAATCACTAGACCTTCCAAAATTCTATTTTCATGGGCTCTAGCCAAGTTTAACAAATGCTACCCACTCACCCCAATTACAACAGGCACCTCCTTCATTATCTTGGCCAGAATTGTAAACTTTCAGAAAATACACTCAGAATACCTCTCCAACATATAACCATGTAAACTAAAAAGTATTGGGGAAAGAAAAAAAAAAGAAGAAATTTCTTACATCTCTTACTGATCCTGCAGCCTGCTGCTTTTTTTTAAGCCCTGCTTGGTAGCTTTTAAGCTTGGTAGGTGCATCATTAGGGACTTATTTTTATCAATAAACACGCAGTGGTTCAAAGATCTTAAACTCAGGAAATGAGAAAATGATACACATTGTTAAAAAGAACAAAATTCAACGGCAGAAATTTGAAGACCTGATGGGCTTTCTTAGGCGATTCATGAATTGGACAGCATCCCATCCAGCAACTACAAGGGTGCTCTGAAGGGTTGTACAAAATGGAAGGTTTTTATAGGAAGAAGGGTAGGGCAAGGGAGCTATTCGCAAAAGAAAAGGAAGCATTATTTTTAGGCCTGGGTATCTTCTTTTTGGGGAGGTGGGGTGGGGAGGGAAAGGCAAGGGTTTTACCACGTAGATTGCCTCTTCTTCTGGGGGATGGAGAGGGCTCACATGACAGATGACCTCATTGATGCCGACCAGAAAATTCCAGACGGGTTGATTAAGATTACATTTCTGGAGAAGCTCGAAACTGCAATTAAGTCCTGTATCTAAGCCTAGGTTTGGTATCATAGGCTTTAGCACAAGTGATGCCATTTGGGGCCTGTGGTTTTCTCTTCAACAACATAAACAACTGTTAAAATTGGGACTTGGCAGAAGACAGGGGAAGAAAGACAGAAAGGGAACGAGAGCAAGTTAAAGGAGTGACATAGGCAGGGAGGGCAGGAGAAAGAGAGTGAAGCATTCCCCCCCAATATCTTAATTAAAAGTAAAACTTTTACTTTAATCATGCTGTCGATTCACCAAAATCAATTATCTTCCTTTATTAAGCCATCTTTTCTTTAATAGCATTGTTGAAAAATATTTATAGATAAAAAGTAGGAAAAAATGATATAAATGACCTGATTTACAAAACGGAAACAGACTCACAGATTTCGAAAACAAACTTATGGTTGCCAAAGGGGAACTGTGGAAGGAGGGATAAATTAGGAGCTTGGGAGTAACATACACACACTACTATATATAAAATCATCAACAAGGGCCTACTGTATAGCACAGGGAACTCTACTCAGTACTCTGTAATAACCTATATGGGAAAAGACTCTCAAAAAGAATGAGTATATGCACATGTATAACTGAATCACTATGCTGTACACCTGAAACTAACGCAATCATTATACTCCAATAATTTTTTTTAAAAAAAGTAGGAAATGCAAAATTTCCTTCTGGTCCTTCTTTCTCCAAATTCATGTCAGCTAGAATATTCTTTGAAGTACTTCAGTGGGCCAGTGGTTATGCTAAAAGAAGCAATGATTGACAACAGCCATCCACCATGAAATCAGCGCCCCAGTGTTTCATTGACTCTTCTAAACAGTTCAATTTTGGCCCATTGAAGAACCACAAATCCCCTGGTGAATTATCTCAATATTTTTCAAGGCAGAATAAAATATTCTGTTTTAACTCTTTTTTTTTTTTTTTTTTTTTTTGCGGTACGTGGGCCTCTCACTGCTGTGGCCTCTCCCGTTGCGGAGCACAGGCTCCGGACGCGGCACGTGGGACCCTCCTGGACCGGAGCACGAACCCGAGTCCACTGCATCAGCAGGCGGACTCTCAACCACTGCGCCACCAGGGAAGCCCTGTTTGAACTCTTAAAATTGTCCACTAAGGCTATGAAGACCCAGAAGTTTTTCTCCCCTCTTCAATACCTTCTCAAGTAGGTTGGAAAGCCCATTTCAAACTATTTCTCTTATAATCAATTAAAATAAGTGAAGCATGTCAAAATTGGTCAGTCTAAGAAGTGACAGAATATTTGAGTGACTTTAAAAACTATTACTAAATAAATTAAGGTGAATGTTTAAAATAAATAATCTCAAAAGGTTTTCTGAATTTTGCAGCAATAGGTTTTTTTCCCCCTTATTTGTATTCAACACCATAGAATCATGAAGACCAAAAAAAAAAACAAATTACCACTTATATATACCCCCAATTATTTGCAGTTCCCAGTCTGTATTTAAAAGTAAACTAAAGAAACATATTTTTACTGCTGCTTTCAATATTCCTTAATCACTGGTATTTGTTTTGCTTTAGTGCTTTGCTCTCTGACTTTCTGTGTGAGAGGTGCTTTATATATTCAATTTGCTGGTGAGCTATGAGATGAAAGGAGTCTTAATGGTGAGTTTGAAGACTGTGGATTTTTATTTCTTTTATTTTCTTACAGTTGAGACATATACAGTTTCACCCTTAATTATCTATGGCTTGTCCTGTCCATGGATCAGCAAAGATTATATAAAACATGATTGTACTAGGTAATTCTTCCAGAAAATTACACAATCAAATAGGTTGGGTGGCATTTGTTAAAACACATTTAGTACTTTATGTGAAATCTCTCCCTATACAGAGATATTCAGCACTATAATTCTTTGGTTTATAACTATATTTCACAAGATGTAAGTCTTGGAAGAATTGTAATTTTCCTTGACCCTCTTTAGAGCAATTCCGTTTACATCCCCCTGTGGTGTACTGAAGAGTCACACAGTGTCCTCTTGGATTTTTTCTCAGCAATACTTAGCATTTGAAAAAAGGGTTTCTTAAAGATGGAAAGGACCGTAACATTGCTCTGCAATTCCAGCCTCTCTTGGTTGTTACAGCCACAGTTCAAGTGTGCAGCTTGCAACTGCACGAAAGGATGACCTGAGGCTGAGCCTAGGGACTCTACCGCATTGTCCTAGAAAATTCTAACTTTGTACCCACGCTGCACTGTGATAAATAAATTGCTATCAGTGGATTACAGTCAATCAGCTTGCTCAGCATGGCCATGTTTGACATTTGATTACTTTTCTAGGTCAGTTATGGAGAGTGGATGTTCATGATTTTGAAAGGGGTGATCACTTATTGGGTGCATACATATTCAAAACGTAAATTGTACATTTTAAGCACATGCAGTTTATTGTAGCTCACTTATATCTCAATAAAATTGTTTTAAAAAACAAGAGAAAAAGCAACAGTAATAAAGATAGTATGGTTTTGGCATAAGGATAGATTAGTAGAACAGAATTGAAATTCAGAAAAAAGAACCACGTTTATAAGGTCAATTGATTTTCAACAAAGGTGCCAAAAAATTCAATGGGGAAAGGATCATCTTTTCAATAAATTGTGCTAGAATAACTGGATATCAAATAGAAAAAGTTACTCATGACACCTGACTAGAAATTTAATTAAAAGCCAATCATTGACCTAACATAGAGATCTAAAGGCATAAAACTGCTTTTTAAAAAAGGAAAAAATACTTGTGACCTACATATAGGAAGTATTCTTTACATAGGACACAAGAAGCATGAACCAATTAAAAACAATGATGAAATTTATTAAAATTAAGAACAGTTGCTGTTATCAAAAGATTTAACTAAGAAAATGATGAGGCAAACCACAGATTGGGAGAAAACATTTGTAGAACATATATCTGACAAAAGACATGCAGCCTGAATATATAAAGAACTTTTACAAATCAATAATAGGAAGATAAACTACCCAGTTGAAAAATCATAGTGGGATTCCAGGACAGACCATGACAGTAGCCCCATTCCTTCCAGGTCCTCCTTTTTTTATATCTAAAAAACCCTGGACATAACACAACAAACAAACATAGGAAGATTCTGAAAGGTGGAAAGATGACAGACTCTAGCTAGAGATCTTGGAACTTGAGAGAGGAGAGCAATGAGTTTTCTGGGTTTTCTTTTTGCCAACAGTGGAGAAGCCTGGAACTGCCCACAGGCATGGTGGGGAGAGGGCAGCTCCAAGAAAAGCCTGCTGCCCTTAGGTAAAGTACCAGGGAAAGGGTAGCCTAACATAAAATATCTTTTTGATAATACCTGCCCTACTTCAGGCAAACACTGTGGAAAAACTGCCCCACCCTCCTACTCTGGCTCCATAGTTTCAGCAGGAAAGAGGAATCTAATGTACGTACACACACACGTGCACACACACACACACACACACACACACATATACAAAGCAGGCTCTGATTCCCCAGCTTGAGTGGTATGTTGGTGGGACCAAGTAAGGAACTGGTCTTCAATCCTCTGCCCAGCAGAAGCAGGTCAGGCACCAATCCACCCTCCTGGGTAATGTCAGCTGAGCACAGCAAGGAGCCAATCCCCACCGTAAATCAGCAAGTGGAATTAGTAGAGTCAGGAGGCTGGTCTTCAATTAACAATCTAATTCCACATCCACTATTCCTCTCTCTCTTTCCCCACACTTAGCAGTACTCTCCTGAGGAATGAAGGAAGCAATCCTGGTTAAAATTCAACTCTTTACTTGTTCTATTACTGTACTTACAGAGCCAAACAGGTCTGGAGAAAAATGTAAAATCATGCTATGCTGGCACTAAATACACGGCCAACCTCAAGTGAACCCTTACCATCATCCTTCAGGTGTACAGTATGCAATCATTCTCTCTCCTCCTCCTTCATATGACTGTTTCTAACCTTTTCCTTTCTTCTCAAACCTTCAACATACCCTTCTCATAGCCAGTCTCACCTGTTCACTATGCTTCTTTTACTTAAAGGAAGAAAGAAAGAAAAAGAGAGAGAGAGAGAGAAAAAGAAAGAAAGAAAGAGAAAAAGAAAGAAAGGAGGGAGGGAGGGATGGAGGGAGGGAAGGAAGGAAGGAAAGAAGGGAGAGAGGGAGGGATGGAGGGAGGGAAGGAAGGAAGGAAAGAAGGGAGGGAGGGAGGGAGGGAGATGTATGGGAAATGCCATAGGATGACCCCCGGTGGGTCACACTCTTGGCAGATCCATGTCCCTGAGTATGGGAACAACCTGTGACCTGTCTCTACTGAATAGAACATGGAAAAGGTGATAGGATATCACCCCCTCCTTATGTTATATGGCAAAGGTGAAGGGATCTTGCAATGTAATTAAGCTCTCTAATCAGTTGCTTTTGAGCTAATCAAAGGGGGGCTTATCCTGGTACCCTGGGTGGGCCTGATCTAATTAGGTAAGCCCTTCATATTTTAGTGATAAGTGTTCTAATGTAGACCTATTAGTGTTTGTACAACTAAAACATGGACCAAAACTCATAAAACCATATGTTAAATTTTTTAATTTGATTTTAATTTTTATTTTACATTGGAGCACAGTTGATTAACAGTGTTGTGTTAGTTTCAGGTGCACAGCAAAGTGATTCGGTTATACATATACATGTATCTATTCTTTTTCAAATTCTTTTCCCATTTAGGTTATCACAGAATATTGAGCAGAGTTCCCTGTGCTATACAGGAGGTCCTTGTTGGTTATCTATTTTAAATATAGTAGTCCATAAAACCATATTTTTATATGGGTAAATTTTATTATATTCAATATTACTTCAATAATTTTTTAAGCTAATGTTAATGAAATGGAATAGGACCCTTTGGCCCTTGTCCCCCATGTCCTCTGCCTGCCCTTTGTCTGTGGAAAAACTTTAGCCAAAGAATGAATTTAATCAGAGAAGTAAGAAAATGCAGAAGCAAAGAAAAGCAGTCAAACAGGACAAAACAATAATCGTTTAGTCCCTAAGCATAGTCAAGGGCCTTTAGTTCCTTCTCAAGGGCTGTAGATAATATTCTAAGCCACATCCTGTGAGCTGTCTTGTAGATACTGAAACCCGCGCCAGGTGGAAGAAGTTAACTACATGATGACCAGACTGTAGCCGTGATATAAGCTGCCACAATTCCAAGAATTGGCCTCAAGGAAATGGGAACAAACTGACCCCGGAACTGAAGATTAACTGTACTTAGGACAATCAAGATGATGCTCGTCAGACCACTGTATGACCAATTTCAAGATGACTGTCAGAACTAACTGTACTGTTTCTACATGTAGTCCCCTCCTTCCGCCAATAAGAGCTCTTGCCCACTGGCTGTCAGTGGAGGGGAGTAAGCCTTTGGACGGGAGTCCGCCCTCCCCCTGCCCCAGTTTCAGGCATCCAAATGAAAGCAAACTTTCCTTTCCACCAAACTTGCCTCTTTATTGGCTTTTGAGCGGTGAGCAGCCAGACCCCACTTTCAGTAGCTGTAAGACACCCCCTTTGCAATGGGACTCCAGCAGCAGAATTTAGACCCAGTGAAAGGTTGAGAAGTAGAGATTATTCCTCCAGAGCTTGCAAACCGTACTACTGGGATAGGTACTTATTTTTAATATTGTTTCTTAGGAGGAGACACTGGAAGCTTTATTCAAATGACACTAATTTCTTTGGTTTACCCATGCCATGGTCTAGGTATAACCTGGGTATTCCTGAGTTTTCCCATACTTTGAAAAGTGGAATAAATAAGTTTCAACTCTTTAACCGTGTAATCTTTTCCAGGTTCATTAGGCATATTCAGTGAGGTATTATTTATGGCTTCTCTAGAGTCACAACAGAGTTGACTTGTTGCTGTAGAGACCATATGATTTGTAAAGCCTAAAATATTATCAGACACTTTACAGAAAAATTTGTCAACTTCTGCTTTAGAGAAAAGAGAACACATTCTTCCTATATCTATTCTAAAGAGAAAGGAAACATAGATAACGAAACTGATAAGACATAGCTGATGTGTATGCGCTTATTAAGAAAGATAAAAACAGAAATGTAGATGGCCAACAGGCATATGAAAAGATGCTCAACATCGCTAATCATCAAGGAAATGCAAATCAAAACTACAATGAGATATCACCTCACACCTGTCAGAATGGCCATCATCAAACAGAACACAAATAAATGTTGGTGAGGCTGTGGAGAAAAGGGAACCCTTGTGCACTGCAGGTGGGAATGTAAGTTGGTACAGCCACTGTAGAAAACAGTATGGAGGTTTCTCAAAAAACTAAAAATAGAACTACCATATGACCCAGCAATCCCACTCCTGAGTATATACCTGAAAAAAAAAAAAACCCACTAATTTGAAAAGATTCATGTACCCCCATATTCATGGCAGCATTATTTACAGTTGTCAAGATATGGAAACAACCTAAGTGTCCATCAACAGAGGAATGAATAAGGGAGATGTGATACACACACACACACACACACACACACACACACAATGGAATACTACTCAGCCATAAAAAAGAATGAAACTTTGCCATTTGCAGCAACATGGATGGACTTGGAGGGTATTTTGTCAAGTGAAATAAGTCAGATACAGGAACACAAATACTGTATGATATCACTTATATGTAGAATCTAAAAAATACAGCAAACTAATGAATATGACAGAAAAGAAGCAGACTCACAGATATAGAGAACAAACTAGTGCTTGTGGGGTTGGGGGAATATAGGGGTAGGGGAGTGGGAGGTATAAACTACTGAGTGTAAGATAGGCTCAAGGATGAGTTGTACAACTTGGGGAACATAGTCAATATTTTGTAATAACTATAAATGGAGAGTAACCTTTAAAGATTGTATAAAAAATTTTTAAATGAAATTAAAAAAAAGAAAGCTGATAAACATTTGCAAAATCTAGTTCAGCTAACATGCTGCTAAGTTGTAGCTTATATTTATTAAAATCATTAAAATTAGCAATTGTTATATTAAGTAACTCAATGGTAATTTTATTTTTGTTTTGGTATCCCAGGTTTTATTGGATCATGAGCCTAAATGCAACTGTTGTCTTTCTGGGACTGTCTTATATCCAGCACTCGGCGTCCTGGGCCCTGGTCTTTCTTACTCCTTTTATGTCTACACTTATGGCTCTGATAACCCTTTGTATGATGCACTATAACCTGATTTATCAGCCAGGAAAATGTAAGCAAATCACACTTTACATTGATTTATTTGGTTCTTACGGTTTTCTCAACACATCTTCTTCCTCTTGGATCCCCTATAACTTCTCTTTCAACTCAGAAAATTTGCAGAGTCTGTCAGTTATTATACTTGAGAGCAACAGATTCTTCAAGAATATCAATAATCTCTATCTTCTTTGATCAAATTGTTCCATGTTTGGGCAGTGAGGTACTCTTCACGCTGGGCCTGAGTCCTTCAGACAAGCCTGTGTTGTCTTTGAATGCTTCCTTGCTTTCTGGTATGCCAAGATATTCTATGGTCATCATTCTCTTCCCTGAACTTTGAATCATCTCTTTCTTAAAGAACTGTTTCCTTTTCTTGTATATATACTGGTATTTAGAGACTACAGTCTTAGTGATGGAGATGCTCATCGCTACTTAGTCCATCATGGTTTCTAGGTCTTTTCAATGCACAGACCTAGAAAATGTCCTTTTTTTTTCCTCTAAGATAACATACATTTTGAACTATAGAATACCATAATCAAAAATGGAACTACAGGATTTTTACTTAAACTTGTCAAACTCAAGTCTTTTTCTACTTCTTCCCATGCCAAAATCCCAGTTCACAATGATTATTGACAGTCTCAAAATTCTTCTTAGTTGCTTTCTTTATGTTATAATCCCTGGGAATGTACACTAAGATGATTATGTTTTAAAGTCACTTGGTATAGTTCCTCTCTGTTTGGTTATGCCACTAACTTTAAATACAATTAAGTGCATTTGTTCCATTTGTGAGGTTAGTTTTTTTTTAGTTGTTGATAGAGTGTAATACGATTCTTATTTTGTGTTAAGCACTTTACATCCTGTATCTCATTTAATACTGTATCAACAATAGGAAGTAGTGTTAAAATTCACTTTTTGCATGTAAAGATTTAGACAATAGTTACTAAAATCTGGGCCCAGACCATTCCTAATAAATTGGGAAAAAGCACAGAATCTTAGTAGCTCTGAACCCACAAGTCTCCTATCCAAAGTATTTCTATATCATATTATGCTCAGTCTAGCCCACTCAAAGCTAAATGTGAAAACTGTTAAATAGCTCATATAACCCTGTCATAAGCATATATTGTTTAACATCCAGCACTGATCCCCCTTAAATCACAGTAACAATACTTCCTATATCTTTGAAGGACCCACAGGTCTTTGGAGACCTTACTGAGCTACACTGTTAAGCCTTGCCTGTTGGACTTTTTAATTACATACCTGCATACATCAGGTTTTTCTTTCTTCCAGTTTTAGTGAGATATAATTGGCATACAGCATTATATAAATTTAAAGTGCACAACATAATGATTTGACTTCCATACGTTATGAAATGATCACCACAAGTTTAGTGACGGTCCATGACCTCATACAGATACAAACTACAAGAAAAAAATAAAAAAAATTTTTTCCTTGTGATGAGAACTCTTAGGATTGACTCTCTTAACAACTTTCGTCTATAACATACAGTTGTGTTCATTATATTAATCATGTTGTACATTACATCCCTTGTACTTATTTATCTTATAACTGGAAGTTTATACCTTTTGACCATTTCTGTCACCATACAAAGATATTACATTGCTACTGACTACACTGTCCACACTGTATATTTCATCCCTGTGACTCATTTATTTTGTAACTGGAAGTTTATACCTCTTAATTTCCTTCATCTATTTCATTCATCCTTTAAAAATCCTGAGGTATTTTTAAATTTTGAAAATTTTAAATACTTGGAAGCATTTAAAAATTTTTATTTTGTTTTAAATCTTAAATAATTTTATGGATCTAAAATTCATGTACAAACAAGGTCCACTTATATTCCTATATCCCCTCTATTCCTTTAGGTGTCCATTTACATATTTTTAAAGAATCATCCTTCCATTTTTTAAATAAAGGAAAATACTAAAATTGTATATATGTGTATGTATCTCTATGTATATGTATGTATTTCCCCCCTTCTATAAACAGTAGCATTTTATTCATACTTTTCTCACCTGCTTTTTTCATTTAATATAACCTAGGAATTGCTTCATAACTGTATATAACAATATTCCTCATTCTTTTTCTAGCTGGATAGTACTCCATTGTTTATTTTACCAGTCTTATATTGATGGATGTTTGGTTCATTTCTTTACTTCTGCCACATTAAATAGGTTCTAAAGAATAGCTTGGTGCATACCTCTCTTAGCATTTTTTCCCCAGCAGATCTTTAGGATAGATTCCTACAAATTGGATTACTAAGTCAAAAAGTAAATCCACAGATAATTTTGCTATATATCGCCAAATTCCCTTCTGTAGTGGTTGTACCATATTGTATTTCCACCAAAAATGTATGACAATGACTATTTCCCTACAATCTCTCCAATTTTTTTCAATTTTTAGATTTCTATACACTGAAGATATTAATTCTTTGTTTACGATAAAAGTTGCGAATATTATTCCCATTTGGCATATATCTTTTAATTTTGCTTCTTGTGTTGTTATCCATGCACAACACTTATTGTTTGTTTATTTGTTTTGTCTTTTGTGTGGTTTTTGTTTGTAATCAAATTTATCAGTCTTCTCCCTTATTGCTTCTAGATTTTGATTCATGGTGAAAAAGTTTTCCTCATTCCCAGATTATAAAGGAATTCATTCATATTTTCTTTTGGTATATATATATACCTTTACATCTGTGACCCATTTGGAAATTATATTAGAATAAGTTTTATGAGTGAACTCAATTTTATCTTTTCCCCATATGACTGTCACGTTATCCAACCTCACTCATTAAAAAGTCTGTATTTTCCCCACTAATCTGAGATGCCACCTCCCTTGTATATGGCCATTTGCATTTCTAGAGTTTCTATTCTGTCCCTTTGGTTAGTCAGTCTACCTGTATTCATATTCATCTATTTTGTTTAACTTTGACCTTAATTTCTAAATAACACATTTTACTTTTAGTAGTACTTTGACTGCTACCACTGTTCCTACCACTTACCTATACAACTACCAGTAACAGCAGTGCAATAAGTTATATTTTTAAAAATTCACTGTTGTTACTTCATTTCTCCACATACCAGTGAGGTAGGCAAGAAGGGCCCCATATTTCCTTTTACAGACTAGACTCCATGTCCTATGCCCCTGCTCCTGTACCATCCTGAGCTTTTTTTTTTTTTTTTGCGGTACGCGGGCCTCTCACTGTTGTGGCCTCTCCCATTGCGGAGCACAGGTTCCGGACGCGCAGGCTCAGCGGCCATGGCTCACGGGCCCAGCCGCTCCGCAGCATGTGGGATCTTTCCGGACCGGGGCACGAACCCGTGTCCCCTGCATCGGCAGGCGGACTCTCAACCACTGCGCCACCAGGGAAGACCCCTGAGCTATCTTTACCATTTCACCTACCGTGTTGTGTTGAACTATTTCTGAATATAGTTAGAAATTCCTGTGTTGTGTACATACTTGGAATATGGTAAATGCTCAGTGTTTGTTATTGTTAAACTGAGTACAAAAAATGAGACATACTTGAATTAAATGACTTGCCCAAGATGTCACAGGCAGTGGCTGAAGTGGAACCAGAACCCAGGCCTACCTTTTCTCAGGCTAGAGCTCGTTTTATTACACCACATACTGAAGCAGTGAAACAGGGAAAACATCATCCCCAGAAGCCTCTGCCTTGTTCCTCAGAGATCTGTGCTCTGTGGATCACAGCCAGGCAGTACACAGCCTCCTGGTAGTCTGTGGAATGGGTTCATTATGCAAAAACGGTCTGGGAGATCCTCTCTGTCAGCCCCAAAAAGGCAAAAAAGAGGAAACTGTAAAGGAAGTATAAGCTTTTATCAAAAGACCACTTTGACGTATTCTAAAGTGTGTAATTATCAAATAATTCTGATTTTTTGTGACTAATTATGTATACATAATTTTCATATTCAAATTTTCTAAATAACTATTTGGCATCCAACCATTTGCTTCCTAATCTCCTATTTGAAAATATATTCATCTGAATAAAGAACTACAATTCTTCAGGTCATACAAATCTATCTGAACACCTCTGTTTACTGCCAGCCTACTCTAGTCCATATGTTACATATTTTAACATGTGATAAGGTAACCTTCCTTTGGACATTTACAAGAAAGAAACTGTATTAGCTGCTAGTAAAATTATAATATAAAATGTTCACCCGTGGTTTACTTTACACAATACTATATCAAATGAATATTTTGGAGTTGTTTTGCTTTGTTTTGTTTTCTATTTCCAAGTTATACGATCACCCAATTATGATGAAGTAAAACTCTGTCTTGCCTCTAGAAAAGTATATAATCCTTATTTTGGCTTCTTCCTCTCTGATGACTAAATTGGAAATTCCTCAAAGCTGTAATTCAAAGCCATAGGTGACCTTAAAGAAATGATTTTTTATATGCTACCTTTTATTTTAAGGTAACTTTTCAAATGTGGACCATGCGTTCCATTATATTTAGCTGTCAAGCATGGCCTTCATTTGCATTTCTTCCCACTGCTATAATTTTGAGAACTGGCAGGTGACCAAAGAAGAAAAAAATGTGCATCTACCATCTACAGTGCAATGTAGGCTTTTTAAATTATAATTAGGTAGCATAGATATTCATGATTAGATCAAGGTCAGAGGAGCAGAACGTCAGAGCTAAGAACTTAAAGGTACAAAGAATAGAAATATTGCTTTCTAAAGTTTTTCTTTTTTAAATAGTAATGGCTACAATCTTTAAGTTTTTCAACAAAGCATTTAAAATAGCTCATCTGTTTTATTTTAAAATGTGCACGCCTGGTGTGTTTGCCATGCACGTTTAAAATGGAGCTTGAAGTTTCGGTTGCATTTTCACTTCAGGTTTTTTTTTCAGCTTCCCATTTCTGCTCCTGGTGCAGAAAACCAATCTGGGGATTATAATGACGATGGATTTTTCTTTTTAAGGCTGAGTCTACAAGACACACAAAATTATTTGTACAGAAGGCATGAGTTTTCTATTAAGTCTACTAGATTAATCCAGGAAGGTGGTGTGATGTTTAGATGTAGAGGTTTTCACGGGGACATCCCTCCTAACACTCAGGATGACTACCTTTGGATGGGACAATGGGCGCTCCCTTTGGGTAGACAGATTACCATATAGCTCCTTTTCTCGACCGCTCTAACTTACTGGCTCCTTCTCAGTCCATCTGATCAATTTAGGTTTATTACTTCCTCTTCTCTCTGACTTACAACCCATGTAGTTCATTTTCCGCTCTTGGGTACCTTTTCTCCTCTCACAGTCTCCTAATGGGGAGCCCTCCGATTTACTCTAGGGACCCCACTCTTCTCACCCTCTTTCCTTAAGTAACCTCTAGTCCCACAGCTTTTAATGCCAACTATACACCAAACGCTCAATTTCACTTGACCTCTCTCCTCACCTTGAAACTCATATATCCGACTTCCTATTCAACATTTCGATTTTGTTACCTAGCAGTCATCTCAAATTTAACCTGACCAAAACTCAACTCTTGATTCACCCAACTGCAAACGGATTCCATTCTTGTCTTCTCCATCTTCATGTAAGTCACCGAAACCCAGTGGTTTAAGGGGAAGGAAAGTAGCATCCTCAAATCTTCTCATTTCTTCAACCTCTCCCCACATTGGAAGATCCTATTGATTCTCTAACAACACATCCCATTCTGTTCGCTTCTCTTCTTGCTGTTTTATGTCCAAGTCATCACGACTTCTTACCTGTATTCCAGCTTCCTCTCTTGTTCCTTAAAATCCATTATGCATACAACTACTAGAGTTCCAGAGTAACTTTTTAAAAATATACATCATATGTCCACTCTGCATAAAATTTCTTCATGGTTTCCCATAACATGGAGAATAAACTCCAAGCTCCTTACTTTTGGCCTGTAAAGTCTGACCCTAATCAAATCTTAGACCTCATCTCCTTCCAACATTCTACCTGAGCTACTGCCTCATTGGCCTTTCCTGTTCCTGAGCTTCTCCCTTCTCATTTCTACTTCATGACATGCCTGATATATGCTTCCTCCAGGTCTTTTTGCCTATTTCCAGTCTATTCAATCCTCAGTTCAAACGTCAACTCTTTAGGTGTCCTCTACACCCTACCCACAATCAGTCTCTATCTTATCACCTCATTTTGTTTTCATCATTGAACTCACCTAATATTTCCCTGCTTGTTTAGTGTCTTCTCAGGGATCTCTAGATCTTGTTCACTACTATATTGTTAAGGCCTAGAAAAGTCCCTGACACATAGTAGGTACGTAATAAATATGTTAAATGAATGAATGATTGCATTCACATTTGTTTGGCATCAATTATGCACACTTGGAGGGCTAAAATTTTAGACCTCATTCATACCTAATCATTTCTTGTTCTTAACCATTTTGTTTTTGCTGCTTTGTATCACCATATCAGGTACAATTTTACTTGTTTAAATAAATTAATTTTTCAAAGTGTGTATTCAAGGCAGTGCTACTCAAAACTTGGTCCATGGGGTAGTGCTGATCATAAACTGTTTGTTACTGGTGTGCAACATAGAAAATAAAGACACTGAGAGAAAACATGTAGAAATATTATGGAAAGTTACCTCATATGTCTGTTGAATCTAATAATCAAAAGATCAGGTTTTATATTTTGTATCTTTGTTTTTATTTTATTTTTTAGGTATTCCATTTTATCGTATTTCACAAATGTATTGACCATGATAGTTGAGAATTTTTTTTAAAAAACTTATCTTTTAACACAGCTAGTTTCAGAAGCGCTAATCCGAACTACCTTTGATATGATATTACCTACTACGATAGTGGTATTTAACTACTTAATAAGACTGGAGGTATCAATTTATCATGCATAAAAGCAGATCCAAATTTATCTTGTGACAAATAGTGATTTGTTTATATGGAAAAGAACTAGTGAGTTTAAAACATATTACATTCAATAAAGTCCTGAATTTAAAACATAGGAAGGAAATTGGGGAGAATACCTCTTGAAATAACCCTTCATCCTGAAAATAGTTATTGTTTAATAATGAAGTCTTTTTGAAAGCACAGAGTAAGTTGGATCAATGCCAGTAATGACCCTCCTGTCTACATGGTATTGTTTCGCAAGAGTTGAGCAGAGAACAGGTTGATGAGCAACAGAGATAAGACGAGAAGGAAATGTCAGGAAGTTAAGCCTCCTAGCCCAGACCTGTTCAAATTCAGTCTCTAGACTGTTCATCAAGACATTCTCAGTTTTCATCTTACCAAAATCTTAAGTAAACTAATTGAAACAGCTGGGAATAGTCTCCTAATAGAGAAGTTCTTTCTCCAATAGTAAAGAGATGTCCCAATGACTTCCTTGTTAAGAGACACAGACCTTGGTCACTCACAGGTGCTTCTGTTCTCTTGGCCTTCTCAGTTCTGGTCTGGCCACAGTGACTAAGAGGCAGTAGTGACTGTAGATGTGAGCCTATCTCCTGCCAGCAATTATCCCGACCTACTTCCGCTTGACCTCAACACACTTCACAGAGGCCTTTGCTGCAATCACTCTTGGTCACTACCCATTTGGGCTGGACTGGATTCAGTGGCTTAGAGGTGAAAGGCTCCATATTCCATTACCGGGCTCCCAGCTTCCTCAGTTAATCAAAGACTGACATGATAGGTCTATTACAACTCTTAAAGAAAAGACCAGATCAAATCTCTATCATCACTCTATAAGCATAAAAAGAAATATTAATAAATACCCTTTATTTAAATATAAAAACCAATACTCTTTGGCATTTAAATGAACTTGGTTAGAAGGCATTTCACCTAGCATTTTACTATAGGAAACTTGAACATAATTAAAATGATGATCAAACTATTATCTGAGTTTCTACAGCAGCTTTCTTTGGAGAAACTCCAACATTTTTATATTTATTTTATCGTTTATCCTGCAACCATGGTTTGGTGTCTTGGTAATTTGTGAAAGGGTTTATCTGGTCAAAAGGAGTGCTATGAAAAGTTGTATCATGATGGCACAGCTGAACTGCTAACCAAACCGGGATCTCTTATCTGTCATTGTATCAGGAAGTCCTAATGGAGTCAAAGAAAAGGTGAAATCTGAAAGATCATAAAAGAAGCAACAATGAGATTGCAAATCACTAGCAGTAAGTGATTGCAAACATCTAAAGCAATAAAATACTTCTGATGCTAAAGCAACAGCCATATAAACCCAGAGGAAACTACTGGAAAAGTCAAAAGCCAACTAATCTAATCTGAACTTTTAGTGACACTATCAACATACATAAAGTCATTTGAAGAGTTCAAAGTTTAACCTTATGTCTGAAATTCAAGGATAAAGTCAAAGCAGAGAAAATATTTCCTTTCATCTACATGTCAAAATAAGAGACCGCCTCCTACCTAACAAGGAAAGTGCGGATTATTTATATGGCAATTTATATTAAAAAATAGTACTAGTTCTTTGTGTTAAGGCTGTAAATGAAACTTCAGGTTGTCTTATTCATTAATGTGTTCAAGTTAGAGGCTTCTGAGAGATTCTGAAATCTTTTACTTTGGTGCTTTATTTTGTCACCTTTCTTCCCTTTTTAATATGCTTCCACTGATCTTAGCTTTTTCATTTTTTACATCATCTGTCAGGCACCACCTTGGGCTGGTCACCAGGATGCCAGAACCCTTGTCAGAAGCTTACTCCTTTGAATTCAACCCCTTGGGTGCTAAAATCTTCTCAATCACTTTACTGCCTTTCATCCTTACAATTGCCATCTTTCTGATTGACATTTTGGAAACTTGAAGAACAGTTCTTTTACTAATATGTAATATTTCCAATTGCTTGCAGGTTGCTCCCTCCTGACAACCTTTGGGGTGTTTGTTAATGCACTAAAAACATGCTGTCTGCAGTATTGCCACCTTGGCGGAGGTGTGACAAGCTGGTTAGACCATGCCAAGGAAAAAAATGGCGGCCGCTACAGTGAGCTCCATGTGGAAGACACAAAATTTTTCTTCACCCTTCTCTCTCTCTTCATTTTTCAGCTCCTCTACAGAATGTGCCTTATGCAGGTGAGGAAAGGCAATTAATACTACCCCTAGCAACAACCAAATGACTGCATGTTAACATAACAAGTGAACATTTATTTTCACCCCAACAAGTGCTTCCCATATACTTCATTAGGCTGTTATCATATAAATACATTACAGGCTCTAATTTTAAAAGCTAAGTGGGGTCAGACAGAGGCATACCTGAGGAGGACCTGGGTGTGATGTTTCTCCTATAGAACTATGAATGTCTGTCAGTAGGTGCAGACAATACTTCAGAGAATTTGTCATAAGGCCTAAGAGTAATGCACAAATATGAGATCTATGGATAATTACCCAACTACTCCCTTCCAAAGGTTTTGCCTTCCTCCTTGACCAAGCCTTTAAAAACTGGTACTAACAAGTAGCTAACATGGCTGGTTTGAGCACCACCCCCCACCGTGCTCTTAAGTATAAATACTAATCAACAAACGATTCTTTCCCCACAAATTCTTAGTTCCCTTGGTGAGCCAGTCCCTATGCTATGAGGAAATCAGGGGGAAAATACTAAGTCCAAAGGACTGTTCACAAGTATATGTGATTTTAATACAATTTTAATGTAGTAATGGTCAAAGAGTCACTTACTTATGAAGAAATATAAATGATTATAAAAGTCTTTGAAGAAATTTGGGACTCTGCATTACTAACCTCTACCTTGGAATTAGATGGCTAATGAGTGAGCTATATTCTTAAATCACAGAATAATAGAGCTGGGAAAAAACTTAGAGATTAACTTATTCAACTATTTCATTTGTTGAAGAGGAAACTGAGGCTCAGAAAAATTAAGTGATTTTGAAGGGGATAAGGAGGTCATACAGTGAATAGCAGTGAAGGAAAAGCAGAATCTACCTTCTTATTCTTAGTACAATGCTTGCTTCTCTAAACCAGGGGTCAGCAAATTATTACCTGCAGGCCAAATCAGCCCACTGCCTTTTTCACATGTCCTGCAAGGTAAGAAGGTTTTTATATTTTTCTATGGTTTAAAACAATCAAAAGAAGAGAAATGTTTTGTAGCAAAAGACAATTATATGAAATTCAAAATTCAGTGTCCGTACCCACAGACATAGAAAACAAATTTATGATTACCAAAGGGGAAGGTGGGGGGTGGGGAGGATAAATTAGGAGTTTGGTATACACACTACTATATATAAAATAGGTAACCAACAAGGACCTACTGTATAGCACAAGGAACTATACTCAATATTTTGTAATAGCTTTAAGGGAAAAGAATCCGAAAAAGAATATATATATATATATATATATATATATACACACACACACATATATTATATATATATATATATATGAATATATGAATCACTTTGTGGCACACCTGAAACTAACACAACAATGTAAATCAACTATACTTCAATTAAAAAAAAGAAAGTAGCCCGTGCACAGCAACAAAGACCCAGTGCAGCCAGAAATAAATAAAATTAAATTCAAAAAAAAAAGGAAGAAAGTACAATTGTTAGAAAAGGATAAGTATAGAACTTCTGTTTGGTTAGAAGGATCCTGTCCTTCTAACCAAACAGAATAAAAACTTCTTTAAAAGAAAAAAAATTCAGAATCCATAAATAAACTTTTATTGTAACACAACCACTCCTGTTTGTTTGTCATAGTATGTCTGCTTATGCATGAAAACAGCAGAGCTGAGTACTTGCAACAGAATCCACATGTGGAAATATTGTCTATCTGGCCTTTTACACAAAAGTTTGCTGACCCTTGTTCTAAACAATGCATGAAAGCTAGGCTGACTTAGCAGATTCAACCTCTCTCTTGACTCCACAATAGTAGATGGAACAAAAACACAAAATTACTACCTGTATATATGTCATTAATAGCATGAAAACACACTCCCTCTTGCAAGAGCATCAGAATCACAACTAACTGCTGAGTAATCATCAACAGGAAGACACTGGGACTCACCAATAAAGATACCCCACATCCAGAGATAAAGGAGAAGTCTCAATGAGATGGTAGGAGGGGCTCAATCACAATAAGATCAAATCCCATAACTGCTGGGTGGGTGACTCACAAACCGGAGAACACTTATACCACAGAAGTCCACCTGCTGGAGTGAAGGTTCTGAGCCCCACATCAGGCTTCCCAACCTGGGGGTCTGGAAGAATTCCCAGAGAATCAGACTTTGAAGGCTAGTGGGATTTGATGGCAGGACTTTCACAGGACTAGGGGAAACAGAGGTTCCACTCTTGGAGGGAACACACAAAATAGTGTGTGCATCAGGACCCAGGGGGAAGGAGCAGTGACCCCATAGGAGACTGAACCAGACCTACCTGCTAGTGTTGGAGGGTCTCCTGAAGAGGCGGGGGTGGCTGTGACTAACTGAGGGGACAGGGACACTGGCAGCAGAAGTTCTGGGAAGTACTCCTTGGCGTGAGCCCTCCCGGAGTCCACCATTAGCCCCACCAAAGAAACTGTAGGCCTGAGTGCTGGGTTGCCTCAGGCCAAACAACCAACAGGGAGGGAACTCAGCCCCACCCATCAGCAGACAAGTGGATTAAAGTTTTACTGAGCTCTGCCCACCAGAGCAACACCCAGCTATACCCACCACCAGTCCCTCCAGTCAGGAAGCTTGCACAAGCCTCTTAGATAGACTCATCCACCAGAGGGCAGAGAGCAGAAGCATGAAAAACTACAATCCTGAAACCTGTGGAACAAAAACCACATTCACAGAAAGATAGACAAAATGAAAAGGCAGAGGACTATGTACAAGATGAAGGAACATGATAAAACCCCAGATAAACAACTAAATAAAGTGGAGACAGGCAAACTTTAAGAAAAAGAATTCAGAATAATGATAGCGAAGATGATCCAGGACTTCAGAAAAAGAATGGAGGCAAAGATCGAGAAGATGCAAGGAATGTTTAACAAAGACCTAGAAGAATTAAAGAACAAACATCTAGAAGAATTAAAGAACAAACAAACAGAAATGAACAATACAATAACTGAATTGAAAAATACACTAGAAGGAATCAATAGCAGAATAACTGAGGCAGAAGAATGGATAAGTGACCTGGAAGACAGAATGGTAGAATTCACTGCTGCAGAACAGAATAAAGAAAAAAGAATGAAAAGAAATTAAGACAGCCTAAGAGACCTCTGGGACAACATTAAACACAACAACATTCGCATTATAGGGGTCCCAGAAGGAGAAGAGAGAGAGAAAGGACCCAAGAAAATATTTGAAGAGATTATAGTCGAAAATTTCCCTAACATGGGAAAGGAAATAGCCACCCAAGCCCAGGATGTGCAAGAGTCCCAGGCAGGATAAACCCAAGGAGAAACACGCCGAAACACATAGTAATCAAATTGACAAAAGTTAAAGACGAAGAAAAATTATTAAAAGAAACAAGGGAAAAACGACAAATACAAGGGAACTCCCATAAGGTTAAGAGCTGATTTCTCAGCAGAAACTCTACAAGCCAGGAGACAGTGGCACGATATACTTAAAGTGATGAAAGGGAAGAACCTACAACCAAGATTACTCTACCCCGCAAGGATCTCATTCAGATTCCACTGAGAAATCAAAAGCTTTACAGACAAGCAAAAGCTAAGAAAATTCAGCACCACCAAACCACCTTTACAACAAATGCTAAAGGAATGTCTCTAAATGGGAAACACAAAAGAAGAAAAGGACCTACAAAAACAAACACAAAACAGTTAAGAAAATGGTAATAGGAACATACATATCAATAATTACCTTAAATATGAATGGATTAAGTGCTCCAACCAAAAGACACAGGCTTGCTGAATGGATACAAAAACAAGATCCATATACAAGCTGTCTACAAGAGGCCCACTTTAGACCTAGGGACACATACAGACTGAAAGTGAGGGGGTGGAAAAAGATATTCCATGCAATTGGAAATCAAAAGAAAGCTGGAGTAGCAATACTAATATCAGATAAAATAGACTTTAAAATAAAGAATGTTATAAGAGGCATGCAAGGACACTACATAATGATCAAGGGATCAATCCAAGAAGAAGATATACCAATTATAAATATATATACACCCAACGTAGGAGCACCTCAATACATAAGGCAAATGCTAACGGCTCTAAAAGAGGAAATCGACAGTAACACAATAATAGTGGGGGACTTTAACACCTCACTTACACCAATGGACAGATCATCCAAACAGAAAATGAATAAGGAAACACAAGCGTTAAATGACACAATAGACCAGATAGATTTAATTGATATTTATAGGACATTCCATCCAAAAACAGCAGATTACACTTTTTTCTCAAGTGCCCACGGAACATTCTCCAGGATTGATCACATCTTGGGTCACAAATCAAGCCTTGGTAAATTTAAGAAAACTGAAATCATATCAAGCATCTTTTCTGACCACAACACTATGAGATTAGAAATCAATTACAGGGGAAAAAATGTAAAAAACACAAAAACATGGAGGCTAAACAATGTGTTACTAAATAACCAAGAGATCACTGAAGAAATCAGAAAATACCTAGAGACAAATGACATTGAAAACATGATGATCCAAAACCTATGGGATGCAGCAAAAGCAGTTCTAAGAGGGAAGTTTACAGCAATACAATCCTACCTCAAGAAACAAGAAAAATCTCAAATAAACAATCAAACCTTACACCTAAAGGAATTAGAGAAAGAAAAACAAAGAAAACCCAAAGTCAGTAGAAGGTAAGAAATCATAAAGATCAGAGCAGAAATAAATGAAATAGAAACGAAGAAAACAATAGCAAAGATCAATAAAACTAAAAGCTTGTTCTTTGAGAAGATAAACAAAATTCATAAACCTTTAGCCAGGTTCATCAAGAAAAAGAGGAAGAGGACTCAAATCAATAAAACTAGAAATGAAAAAGAAGTTACAATGGACATCACAGAAATATAAAGCATCATGAGAGACTACTACAAGCAACTCTGTGCTAATAAAATGGACAACCTGGAAGAAATGGACACAGTCTTATAAAGGTATAAC